AGGTCATTGCTAGTAGGTTGGAGGCAATTGCTATTAGGTTGGAGACCATCGGTAGTAGGTTGGAGGTCATTGCTAGTAGGTTGGAGGCCATTGCTAGTAGGTTGGAGGCAATTGCTAGTAGGTTGGAGGTCATTGCTAGTAGGTTGGGGCCATCGCTAGTAGGTTAGGAGTATATAACTTCTGGAACTTCAATGTCACAGTTCTTCTGGAACTTCCACAGCTGGGCCTCGATCTCTCCAAGTTCGTAGAGTTTCTCGGGATCATCTCCCTGCAGATTCATCTTGCACTCCTTTTCGACGTTCAAGTCACTAATCTAGTAAAAATGCGAAACTAGAGAGCATCAACAGTGTCCTCATTTTGCAGTTTGGTTTGTAAAACTTGGAAGTGACGAGAAGAAAAGGCACACTGCACCTCGCCTGCCCAAAGAAAATGTTGACGTCTCCAGCCATGCTTGACTGCAAGCTTTGGTCAAGCAAAATGAAGGTGAGCTTGTCCTGAAGCAGCAAGGCAACATCTTTTTGAAAACGCCTATGCTTGCAACGTCAAAAACACGAGTGTACATTCTAATCATGCTGTACACTGTGCACAGTTCAGCGAGTTCCTTCTTGAAATGTTTCCTCTCGGAGTCTTGCCGCAAACATGTGACAGGATTGATTCCTCGGAGTCTCGCCAGGATTGCTGCATCTCATACTCCTGCAAAAATCTCAACAAAAAACACACGCGACGCTACTAGGAACAGCATCGCTACTAGTAGTAATGCCTCACCAGCAAACATGAAGAATTATAACGACCTGACCTGTTAGCCATCAATGATCTGTCCGCAAGACCAGTCTTTGGAGCAATTTGCCATCCAAAGACTTCGGATGGCAAATTGCTCGAGACAAAGATTCGCCTTTACAACTCTCTGAGACCCAGAATTTGTAAAAGGCTTCCGGTGCACATGACAAGTGTTGACAAGTGTTCAATGTGTTTATCAGTTTTTCCCTAAGAGGTGGAGGCCATCGCAAGTAGGTTGGAGGCCATTGCTACTCGAAACAAAGAAAAAGAAAAGGTGGAGGCCATCGCTAGTTAGTAGGTTGTAGCTAACTTGAGCTACTAGCTAACCTAGTCTCTACTAGCTAGCTACCTCGAGCCTACTACCCCCGCGGACTTAAAAAGAGTCCAATCTAGTTTGCTTGTTGAATGGAGGAGCAAGAAGCTACTGGGAACAAAGGGCATCACTACTAGGAGCAAGGATCCTGCTAGTAGCTCCTGGCATCGCTACTAGGAGCAAGGAGTGCAACTTTGAATCCTCGTCAAGGCTCAAAGGCTCGGATGCAGTGAGTTCCAGAATCTCCGGATCCTGGCCATCCACACAGTTCTTTAGTAACAAGGGCATCCATCGCTACTAGGAACAAGAACGCTACTAGGAGCAAAGGACGCTACTAGTAACAAGGAGCCTAAAGCGTGCCCAAGAGGTCGATTGTCTAGACAAAAGCGCTTTGAAGAACGACGTTGAAGTAAGAGAGCGACAACTAATATTATTTTAGTAGTTTGAGGCATGGTGTAGTAGCAAGGCATACCTAAGGCCTTGCATGCCTGCAGTCTGGAGCAAAGGTGATTGTTCTGTGCATTTATCGTGTTCGTTTAAACATCGAAAAATGGAGACATAATATTCAAAAAATGATGTATGTGGGCCCTTTCAATAAGTTTTCCGATGTTTCCCGCAAACAGAAAAAAGCCAATGATGCTCTTTCATGATGCTCTTCGGCAACAATGTCACATGCAGTTCGAGTCTCTCCTGCATCCATGCATGGTATGTTGGTACCATCCAGCGCTCATAGGGCACCAAGGCACACTTTGATCCTGCGTGAGTAAGAAGAGGTCACAAGCCTAGCCACCTTTTTCCTTCTACTTCCAAGAAAAGAATCTTCTTAACAGGCCTTAGTGTTAAATTTTAAATATAAAGAACACTATCACTTGCAATCATGTCTTCTTTCCTAGAATGCTTTATTCGGGGTGAGCGTGCTTCATTTGCTTAATTTTGCAAAGCACACTGCTTGCCAGAAAACAGATGGAGTCGAGCCGCTGAGAGATATGAAGACGTAAATGGTGTGTAGCCTGGTATTTGACAGACTCGGCGGGCCCTCGATTTGACCGGTAACAAGGACGCTACTAGTAACAAAGGGCATCGCTACTAGGAGCAAGAAGCTATTAGTAGCTCCTGGCATCGCTACTAGGAGCAAGGACAACAGTTTAGCTCAGTGCCCTTCGACATGAGGAAGCATTTCAAAGGGCAACATACATCTGATCATGCTGACAGTGCTAGCGACGCTGAGTTGCACTATTTGCATTATTTGTTCTTGTGTGGCTTCTGAAGAACTTTTCTGGTGGAACCAGTCATTGGCGTTGTGCGCTGGTAGAGGCAAAGGCACGTCTGCACAGGCAAAGGCACGTCGACTTGCACTTTACGGGGTTCCTTACTGCGTATAACAGTGAACCAATGCAAGTCGTGGCACCATGATATTTGTGCGAACATTGAGAGAGGGACTGGTTCAGATCTGCAGAAAAAAAGTAACGCGGCCCGATTAAACGAAGAACACATGCCATTCTATCCAAGCAACCAACAACACGAAGTTTCTCGTTCATTCGCCTTGGTGGATTTGAACTTGGGTATGCACACTTTCTGCTGAATAGAGAGCCTTGACATTAACGTGTCACATTGACTTCAAACGTTGGAGGCCACTCCTATGAGGGTGGAGGCCATTGCTATCAGGTTGGAGGCCATCGCTCTTAGGGTGGAGACACTTAAAAGTGTCTTATTGACTACAAATGTTGGATGCCAGTGCTATTAGGTTGGAGGCCATCGCGCTTAATCCCTCTTAGGGTGGAGGCCATTAAAGTGTTCTATTGACTTCAAAGGTTGGAGGCCATTGCTATTAGATTGGAGGCCATCGCTCTTAGGGTGGAGGCTATTGAAGTGTTTGGTGACTTCAAATGTTGGAGGCCATTGCTATTAGGTTGGAGGCCGTGCGCTTAGGGTGGAGGCCATCAAAGTGTTTTATAGACTTCAACTGTTGGAGGCGATTGCTGTTAGGTTGGAGGCCATCGCTCTAGGGTGGAGGCCATTAAAGTGTTTTATTGACTGATGTTGAAGACCATTGCTATTATGTTGGAGGCCATCGCTCTTAGGTTGGAGGCCATCGCTCTTAGGTTGG